TTGAAGCAACATGTCTGCAGGTTCTTGTAGTGGCTGACATGCTCCAAGCCTTTTTCATCCTTCTTCCAAGTCACAAAGGAAATCCAATGAAATGGTCGGCTCTTTCGGGGGTTATGCTGTTCCGCCCAGGCGTAAGACTGGTTTTCGATTGGGCGGCCTCACGAGAGCAGCCCGTCTACGAGCCAGACCTTGGCTTTGCCACGCAACTTGGCGTGACATCAATGGCTGGAAGTTTCTTCAGCAGGTAGAACCAGACTAGAGTGATAAGCTGTAGTTAGTAACAGTTAGTACTGTTAGGAGTGCTTTGCAGAGAACACTAATGTGTCTTGTGATTCTTGCCAACTTGCTGCGGGTTTAGAAGCAGCTGAGTAATCAAAACTAGGCAAAGCATGATGGATCCCGTTGCTCCGAGGGCCGTGCCGGTCGGGACGACCCGGTTCAAAATTCTGGATAACACCGCGAGGAGCCAGACTTGCGGGATCAGTCTTGGAATCTGATGGACAAGTCTTGGTAACAGGGTGAAAACTGCTGAATGTTGTGTGTGCCTTCTTTGCAGGAGATTTGCATGCTGTGATCCGTCGATCTATCCTGCAGCCTGGCTCATCGTGTGCTCCTGAGTATGCCGCACCCTGTAGCCTCCAGCGCGTCACAGGAATGCTGCGGAGCGTCAGACTTTTCAGGTCTACATCGTCAAGGGATCTATACAGCAGGAGGCCATTTATGCTGGCCATGCCCTCATCCGGGCAAGGCGCTCAGTGCGTTCCTCTAGCTGAATCAGAACTGCCACGGGCCCCTGCACCGAGGACAACCAGACGACTCACGTAGCAGACAGCATCTACGTTCAAGAGCTGCAGATCGTGGCGGGGTGTTTGATGCAACCTTGCAGATTGCTTCGAGTGTGCACACAATAGCCCACAACCTGTCAGGACACGACCCCAGAAGACCAAATCAACATCACGCTGACTGGCGAGTTGTACTGGCGCAGAGCTCAGTTTGTGAGCATAGGAAGTAGTTGTCGTCCTCGTCGAGGTGGTGGCAGTGGCAGCAGTAGCGGTAGTGGTAGTTTAGGGCCGTGTGGGTTTGGGTTCTTAAATTAGTTTCAGATCAGTCTGTCCATTTAGGGTTTCGGGTTTTTGGCAAGATGGTTGATGACAGCTCTAGTCACTGCAGGGGTTCAAGATCCGACCATGGTGCAGCCAACGGAACACGAGCTTGTGATTCCGTGCCACCGGACTTTCCGGAGATATACCCAGCTGGGCCCTCCACACAAAACCTCTTCAAGCACCGTACCTGCTACCTTGCTTTCATGCTCGGCGCCCACCAGACGGCACAAGCAGGTTTCGCCCATCACCGTAGCTGGAGCCGCAGTATGCGTAGCAGTACTAAGAGTACAGCACGTGCAAGAAGGAGAGACCTACTAGGAACAAGAGAACAATGCACCCCAAAGAACCACACCCAACAACAACAGTAGCAAGACGTCAACCAGTACTCAAGCCAGGGGTTGACTGTTAAACTCTGTACCATACCATTGTCAAGAACTGCAAGGAGTCTGTGAGTAGCTTTAGTTACTTTAGTTGGTACCTCATCACGGGCGAGAGGCGCAGTGTGAGCGAATGAAGTCAATGAGACGAAAACAACAGGAGCAACAAGTAGTGCGACTACAGGGGAATCGAATCGTAGAAACGGCCAGATCTTTTCCTCTCTTCCAGGAACACCACCGGCCCGGAGTATCCAAATGTGGGGGAGGACCCGGTCAGAAAAGCTGTTGTACAAAGTTTAGGCTTGATGTTTGTATTGTTTTCGATCGTTTGGGATCGTGGTATGAGAAGAAGTTGAAAGGATTGGAGCCTGATTGACCAGTGGGACATCTACCTGGCACAGGCAACGGCGCATAGCAGCAACAACAGTGGCAACCAGTGTCTAGAGTCTAGATTGCTACTACTAGCAATTGCAAGAGTCACAATGGCTGTGACGGAACCTTTTGTACGATTTCGATGAGTTTCCCTGCGACAGGGTTCCAGCCTGTCTTCCAGCGAGAGGCCGCAGCACCGATGCTTGCTCAGATGGGTTCACGGGCTGTCCCTGCAGGTATATCGCCAGTGTTCCTCTGGGGGCCAAGTCGTACATTTTCACCGCACAGCCGTTGAGCGCTCAGACAAAAGAATCCCACCGTCGCGGATGAATTCACAGCCAGCTCAGGTTGAATCAAGGGGACGATGCGATCATCGTCTACGCGTCCAACGCAGTGGGAAAGGTGAGGTTGCTGGTATCCACACAAGGCGCTTAAGAGAAGAACGGCTTTTCGTGAGGCACCTTTTGGCAGTGTGGCTGCCCAAGCTGCTTCAAACAGGGTGGTAGGTTGTGACGATCTTCCAAACTGAGAGAGGTCGTGCAGTTCGGCCAGTTCGGGGGCCTTCAGACAACTTCCACCACAACGTATTCTTCAACTTCCACGAAACCTCTTACATCCATGAGCGGGCTTACTGCCGGAAGCTTAGGCTGCCTCTGATCGACAGTGAGAGTACCACATCCACATACCATCGTCTACAGCTGTCTACAGCTTCAAGAGGTCAGGTTATTTTGGATGCCGGGAATGAGACTAAAGTTACAAAGAGAGGTCACTTTCACCGACACGGACACCAACGCAGGTACTTTGCTAGGCCGGATGCTGTCAGACGGGCCATGGGAAGGGAATGGAGTCGCCGTGTGGCAAGGCACAATCACCTGGGACCCTCCCGCCGATCCCAGTGCACTGACGTCGCCCGAACCTGAGCCAGACAGCGAGCCAGACAGCCAGTGACTAAGTGACCCAAAAGCGCTCTCTCCGCTTCTGTCACAGCATGTCAGGTATGACATCTACATGTCCAGCGACCAGCAAGGTAGTGTGCTGGCCGCAAGTGGGTGTGCGGGGTGGCGACGCTGAGCGAGAGATGTACACATTCGTGGGCTTTGGGCCGGCACTAATCAGCTGTGAAAACCGCTGCAGTGCCTAGGCTTCAGTGCTTCCTGTTGTCTTTCAAAGACCTCCGTCTGCAGGGGCCCCTTGGCGGCCCCTTGAGCTCAAAGCTACCGTGCACAGCAGAGAAAAGAGTAGAGTTCCAGCCATATCACTGCGTGTCTCCGCTTCGTTTTGTCAGTTGGCACCGGAGCGTGGTTTCGATCAGGGCCTGGGAAAACCCGTGGTGAGCGCTGTGGAGAGTCACAAGCTGGTGCAAGCTTGCAGCCGTGCGTGTGTGTGAGACGAACCTTTGCCTGGAGACCTTGAGGGCAGAGAGAGCAGATGGAGACGGGACAGCCCCCGACAGACTCTGGAGGCTTGTCTATCGAGATAGAGACCCGCCTCCAGGATGGAACGGAGAGAAACCAGAAGCCACCTTGAAGCCCTACCTCAAGGACCTTCAGCTTTGGGAGGCCGTGACAGATCTCCCTCCGGCCAAGCGCGGCCCGAAACTTGTGCAGGCCCTCACAGGACCGGCGCGAGAGGCGGTTCGCTTCCTTGAGGTTCCCGAGCTGATCAAGGAAGATGGCGTGAAGACCGTGATCAAGGCGCTCACCTCTGCCTTCGAGCCCTACCAGGAGACAGCCCTGCCAAGGGCCATGGAGACGGCGTTGTACGGGCATGCCCGGGCACACAAGGAGACGATCCCGCAGTACCTGCTTCGCTTCAGCGCGGCGCAGAGAGCTCTACGAGATGAGGGCGTGGATCTCCCTTCGAAGGCCACGGGCTACCTGCTCTACCGGCAGTCTAACCTGGACAAGGAGCTGGATGCACGGCTTCTGACCTGGCTGGCTGGCGACTACTCCGAGGACGTGGTCGTGGCCAATCTCCGAAGACTGGACCGAGCGATACAGGAAGGAAGCCGAAAGAACAATGCCTGCTACGAGGGCTTGGAGGAAGACGATGCCGGCGATGCAGAGGGCGAATGGCAGGAGCACGAGGCGTACTACGAGGACTATGGCAACGCGATGGACGACGACGAGGCCCTGGAAGAGACCTACTACCAGGACCCGGCAGCAGACGAGGCGTTCCAGGATGTGGTCGATGAGGACGAGCTCCTGGAGGTTCTGGCCTCTTACCAGGACGTGCGCGACTCACTGCGCATGGCCCGGAACGGTCGGGGCTACTACCCGAAAGGATCGAAGGGCTCTTTCGGCCCACTCCCAAGCGGCAAGGGGAAGCAGAAAGGAACGACCAGGCCCGACCGAGCTCTTACTCTCCAGGAGATAAAGCTGAGGACAAGGTGCCGGACATGCGGACAGATCGGCCACTGGTCTCGTGAGTGCCGGGCTTCTGCTGCACAGCCGTCTTCGTCGTCAGGTGCGTCGCGCGCAAGCTTCTTTTGGTCCTCGGGGCAAAGCTCCTCAGCAGCCACGTTCTTTGCAGCAGGCACAGCCGAGCCCCAGGGCACAGGACAGCACGACAAGGAGCCCGAAGACGCAGCCAGTGCAAAAGACAGCTCGTTGCCGTTTATAGGTGTCGCGACCCAAAGCTTCCAGGGGATAGTCGACACCGCAGCACAGGAAGGGCTTGTTGGCAAACCAGCTCTTTTGCGCCTTCTTGAAGAACTCCGAAAGCAAGGACTCCGGGGGTACTGGAATGGGAAAACTTCCGAAGCCCGCGGCATAGGCGGCCGCGCCACCTCCCTAGGAACAGTTGAGGTACCTGTCGGTTTCGGCGGGATTGCGGGCATACTCGAGCTCACCGTAGTTGCTGAAGATGTTCCCCTGTTGGTCCCGGTCAATCTCCTGAAGGCCCTCGGTGCTGTTATCGACTTAGACGAGGGATTGCTTCACCTACGTAAGGTCAACACGGTTTGCGACATGAGCTTCCTGTCGTCGGGTCACCCGGTCATTAGCATCATTGACTTCGGCAAGGGATGGCATCTTCCAGAAGTTTGTCGTGAGTTTAGGTCAGAGCAGCTGTTTCGCACCGAGCCGCAGAAGCAAGTGAAGTTCACCGATCGCAGCTTTGGCTCTTCAGCTCTTTGGGCAGCAGCTTCTGGAGGAGGCAGCACCGCTCATGCTAACCAACCGCGCCCTCGGAGTGCAGCGTTCCCCTGCTCGACAAGGACAATGGCAGCTCGTCGGCCCGGCCCCGGGCGCAAGGGCCCGACGAAATTGGCGCGTCGTTTTGGACAAGCTCTCCTGTGTGCTGCAATGGGCACGGTGGCAGGAGCTTGTGTCAACGTGGCTGCCGCTTCCAGAGCTCGGACAACGGCAGTCGCAGCCGCTTCCCTCGGGACCAACCTCAAGTACGACGACGAGCTCTACGAGACTTGCGCCCACGGACAAAGGAGCGGCGTACAAGCGCTACTTGCAGGAGCGCAAGCCGGAGCAGCTCTCGGCAGTCAAGGGTGCCGACGGTTTCCGTGGAGAAGTGCCAGCACCCAGCGCAGTGCCTGAAAGGCGGCGGCAATGGACACATGAACTGGGTGCACTGTGCCCAGTGCAGGTGCCGCTGGAAGTTGTCGCCGAGGACCGCGGCAGTGTTCACCGGGCGGCCGTTGGAGCCGGCCGAGGAGATTGCCGAGAACCCCAACCTGGCCGCTCGCGTTCAGGAGATGGCGCGGGATGCCCTCGAGAAGGAGCACCTGGACCAGCAAGACCAGCTGCTGCAGATCATCGCGGACCAGCGGGAGAAGATCGAGGAGACCCAGGCACAGCTGGACATGCAGAACGGCCACTTCCTGGAGTACGACCGGGCACTGGAGACGGTTGCCTTCCTGGAGCACCACCAGGAGGACATGGACGTCCTCAGACTGCGGCTGTGCTGGCCGAGTTCAGGAGACAAAAGACCCTGGAGGAGGAGACCCGGCAACGAGCCAACTTCTTCCCCACCAGCGAGACCAAGGAGCAGTGGGAGCAGACGGTGACCAACCTACGGCACTCCATCCAGAACCTCGCCCAGTTTCACTCCGAGCTCCTGGCCAGGCGCCAGGGCGTGGCGAGGCAGGTGATGCAGCGCTGAGCGTCGACCAGGACCCAATGCATGGCCGGAGCACCGAGAAAGGGGACGGCACACTGAACAAGGCGACCCCGACAGTGCTCCGAAGGTGGCTGGTGGAACCGAACGCATTCCTGGAGGACTTTGTTGTTGTCCGGGAGCGCGGCTTCCTTGTTCGGGGGGACCGCCACGACATGAAGGACGAGCGCGGTGACCACGGCGAGGTATACGTTGTCCTTAAGGAGCCCGAGCTCTACGTGAACGCCGAGTTTTCTGAGGACGGGCCCAAGGAGGCGCAGGACGTGGTCATCGACGGCATCCAGGCCTTTCTCGCGGACAACGACGGCCAGGACGAGCTGTGCTTGAAGCCGGCCCAGGGAAATGACCAGGAGTGCTGGCGTCGCTTTGAGGAAGCGAGGCCTGAGCTGCTCACGATCGAGCCCGAGGACAACCGTGAGTCACACGAGATGGCATGCAGGTTGGCGAGGGGTTCAATGGAGGAAAGGAAAGGCTTTCGTTTTCCACGCGGGCAATGGTTCCCAAGTGTCCCGCTACGGAGCCACCAGAGAACTTCGGGAGATGTGTGGCTCGACCTCAGCGTGCTACATGTTACAGCGAAAGAAGGGCATCATCGCAAACGTTGTGGACCAGGCCAAGTATAACATGGCAAAGGACGCGGACAGCATCAACTACAAGGCCAAGCCGGTGCCCGAGTTCGCGGCGATGCCCACCGAGATTCAGAACCCGGAGCAGAGCGAGGAGACAGGCATCATGGAAGAGGTTTTCGGTCCGGTTGCGCGAGTTCCCTCGAAGACCGAGACGGAGGCGATCGACCGCCTCCACAGGAACCTCGGACACCCTACGGGCCGAGACCTTGACAGAGCACTCGCGATCAGCAGGGCACCCCCTCATCTGGTGAAGTTTGCCAAGGAAGACTACAAGTGTGCAAGTTGCGAAGCGCGCCGCGCGCCCAAGTGGAATAGGCCGACCACAGTTCCCAGGTCTTATGCGCCGAACGTTGTTGTCGGCATCGACTTGATGCAGATACCAAATCACGATGGAACACAGGTACTTTGGATGCTGAACATGGTGTGCATGGGAACGAGTTTTCAGCTCGTTGAGCGAGTGCGTAGCAAAGAGCCCAAGGAGGTGTGGGCGGCATTCGCCCGATCATGGGGACGCCTTCTTGGTTGGCCTTCCGTCCTTTGGCTAGATCAAGGAACAGAATTTTTGTCCGAGTTTCGCGACAAGGCGTCCCAGCTTGGAATGATCATCCATCAGATAGGCGCACGCGCCCCGCAGCAAAACGGGCGCACCGAAAGACATGGAGCTCTCTTCAAGCAGCTCTTCGAAAAGGCCAGGTGGCATGCGCCACCGATGGCGGATCACAGCGACTGGGTGCAGCTTCTTAGAGAAGTCGAGGCATCCAAAACCAGATTGTTCAACAGGTCCGGCTTCGCACCCATCCAAAGGATGTTCGGACATACGCCCCGAACCAATGGGGAACTGATGTCCGATGACCCCGTGGAGCCCGTGCTCCTTGACTACGGCGAGGACCTCGGGAAGCTTCTGACGGCACGGCGGGCGGCACAGAAGGCCTTTGCTGAGGTGAACACGTCCACTGCAGTGAAGGTCGCTCTTAGAAGCAAAGGGCGCACTCAACGAACCTTTCAGCCTGGAGAGGTTGTCTTCGTGTAAGACGCAGGGCATCCTGAAGCCAGGCTGGGTGGGCCCGGCCATAGTGTTACTACCTGAAGGTCCCAACGCCTACGTGAACGTGCAAGGTCGGATCTGGAAAGTTTCGAACGAGCACTTGCGTCTGGGTACATCGGACGAAGTAAAGGGGATTGAGGCAGTTCACGAAGTCTTCCATGATCTTAGGCGCCGCTTCGAGATGGCCAAGGCGAAGGTGATCGAGGACCACACCGGTGACCCGATCCCCGAGGACGCCACGCAGGTTCGCGAGCTCAACGTGGATGAAGAAGGAGACCGGCGGGGTGTGCCAAGGCCACGCTTGGAAGAGCCCGAGGTGCCAGTGCCGGTTCCTCTTATACCGGTAGATGCGCCTGGAGAAACGCCGCAGCAAGAAATACTTGAACCTCCTGTACTACTACCTCCTGTCAACAACAACGAAGGCCAGGCGACGGACTCAGGTCAGAGACCGAGGCAGGTCACGCCCTCTTCTGAGCCCGAGCGCGAAGTCGCGCCACAGACTTCAGATGGCGTGCCCGAGGACAACGGCGACAGACCACAGGCACCACAACCTCCGTCGAGTTCGACTGCGGATCCCTTTTCGCAGCGACTCAGGGCGGCGATGGAATCGGCATATCGGAATGATGTGCTGGACGATGCGCTACCGAGGCGGCGGGCAAGAGTGACCTCTGCTGAAGGTGCTGGGCCTGTTCGAGACAAGGAGGACCAGACCGTGAACCCGTACTTTGCCCAGGACGACTACATGGGCGACGACGGTCTGGACAAGCTTGCTGCTGAGTGGAGAAAGGAGGCGGCACCGAAACCATGCCGCGATCACTGGGAGCTACTCCTTGGAGCTGGGACACTGCGGCGGCACCACGTGAAGTGGAGGACACATCCCTTCTCGCCATGGGAGGGAGCACGCATGCCCGTGGACATCCGAGACCTCGGCTCCACCAGAAAAGTTGTTCGCTGTTACAAGTCCGGCGATCAGGACGAGGAGGAGGATGACTGGAAGGCGACCAGGCCTTCTAGGAGGGCGGCTTCCAAGTGGAAGGGCTACACCGACTTCTACCTCACCAAGGCCGCGGTGAACCGACTTAAGGACCTCAACGGCAAGGACTTCGAGCACTACCACGTCGAGATCCAGACGGCCGATGTCTTCAAGATGGCCACCGATGAGGTGAACGAAAGGTCCATCAGCCCGGAAGAGTGGGAAGGATGGAAGCAGACCGACGCAGAGGAATGGGCGAAGCTACAGGCCAGCGGCGCGGTGAAGGTGCTCAGCGTAGAGGACTCCAAAAGGGTCATCGATCAGCTGACCCGAGAAGGCCGACAAAACAGGATCCTCAGCTCAAGAATGGTGCGAAGGCACAAGCCCTCAGAACAGCCAGGCGAGCCGTCCAAGCGGAAAAGCAGGCTCGTCATCAGGGGCTTTGAAGATCCGGATGCGCACCATCTAGATCGCTACTCTCCGACTGTGTCTACGCAAAACTTGAACATCGTACTACAACTTGCAGCAACGCTGAGACTACCAGGCTCGTGTGGAGACCTCAAACAAGCCTTCACGCAGTCCGATCCACTCCAAAGAAAAGCCGGAAAGATCTACATGTGGCAGCCCTCCTCTGGTTTGCCTGGACTGGAGGCTAACCAGATAATAGAGGTCCTGCGTGGAGTCTATGGACTCATGGACGCGCCTCTCCATTGGCGCCGGACCCTGAAGACCTACCTCACCGAGGAGCTGGAGTACAAGCAGAGTCGCCTCGACCCGTGCGTCTTCGTCCTGTACCACGAGGGCAAGCTGAACGGAGTGATCGTCGTGGAAATCGACGATTTGCTTTGCTTTGGTCTTGACGAGCACGAAAGGCGGCTACAAAAGCTTCGGCAAAGGTTCGCTTTCGGGAAATTCCACCGACTCCAAGAAATGCCACAAGGCACGGCCTTTAACGGCCGACGCATCCGACAGGGGTCAGACTACACCCTGAAGGTTGATATGTGCAAATTCGTCACAGAACGCTTGAGCCAAGTCTTTCTTGAGAAGGGCCGGCGTTCGCAACCGGATGCAGAAGCTTCTCCGAAGGAGAGGCAGGACACCAGGGCCGCCATAGCATCTCTGGCCTGGGCTGCTAAGGAAGGAACACCAGATGCAGCCTCTGGAGCAAGCATCCTTGCAAGCCGGATGGCTAAGCTCAAGGTCCGGGACGTGGTTGCGTTAAACAAGGTGATCCAGGAAGTGCGCTCCAAGCCCGAGTTCACCCTCACGTACCACAGCGTGCCTCTGGAACGAATTCGTTTCGGAGTTGCAACGGACGCCTCCTTCGACAACTACAACGACGGCTCCTCGCAGGGAGCTGTGGGTGTCCTGGCTTACGACGTTGCCTTGACTGAAGGCGAGACGGCCAAGTGCTCTCTACTCTGGTGGAAGAGCGCAAAGCTTCGCCGAAAAGTTCCTTCAACTCTGGCGGCTGAGACGCAGGCGCTGAACAGGGGACTTGGCGAACTACTGTGGACAAAGGCTCTTTGGGAAAACCTCCTGGACCCGAACTTCGACCTCCAGAAGTACATGGCGTCGATCAAGAGGCAGTTGGACGTGGTCTTGCAGCGAGCCGACTGCGACCAGAAGCTGAGGGAGAGCCTGAGCATCGTAGACGCTAAAAGCGTCTATGACAATGTGATCAAAGACGGTGCACAAGCGGCCGATAAATACACGGCCCTAGAGGTAGCAATAGCTCGAGAGCGGTCCGACGGTCTGGGAGTCCAGATCCGATGGGTCGAACACCAGGCAATGGTTGTGGATGCTCTGACGAAGGTTGGAGCAAATCCTCAAGCTCTTTATCGTGTTTTAGACACGGGGCTTTTTAGAATCACTGCAGAAGAGGAACAGATGGTCGAGCGTGCAGAACTGCGTGCCGTCGGCCGAGTGAAGCCCCGCTGACACTGAAGCCTAAAGAAAGTTTTGGGTGCTGTGAAAACCGCTGCAGTGCCTAGGCTTCAGTGCTTTCTGTTGTCTTTCAAAGACCTCCGTCTGCAGGGGCCCCTTGAGCTCAAAGCTACCGTGCACAGCAGAGAAAAGAGTAGAGTTCCAGCCATATCACTGCGTGTCTCCGCTTCGTTTTGTCACAGCTCCACGGCTCATGCTTCCTGTCATTTGGCCATCTTCTTTGGCAGTCATGCTGAGAAGCTTCGCTGACAGGCTGGGCGAGGAGAACGGGCTAAGGGGGGTTCATCTGGGGAAAGCGTTGTGCGGAAGACAACGAGGCACTGAAAGCCCAAGGGCTTCGGAGCATCGAGCCGGTCTTCTGATTTTGGGAGCTGAGCCCAGGCAATCAGCAACAACTCGCCGTGGTGCCCTCGAACACAAACTCATACACAATCTCGTCCGCGGCCACAAGAACGCATGAGCCTGAGGTGTGTAGTTGCGCCAAGCCGCTTAGCAATGTCGACGGTGTCATGCCCTGAGGACAGGCACTGCTTTCCCTGCAAACTGGCTGCTTGTGTACCCAAGCATTGTTCGATCCTCAGAGTTTGCCGCGGATGTCGTGAAAGCTCTTGCAACCTCCGATGCCCTCCGACAGGGTGGCTCTATCTCAACCTACATTGATGCGGCCAGCTTGCCGCTGCCGCAACCCGAGAATCTGAGGGCTCAGTTGCTCACTTTCGTGGGATTTGTGTATGCATCTGTCCCTTTATCTTTGGATATGTGTCGAGACTGTACGCTAGGGATCTTTGTCACGGGATCTCGGTTTGCAGCTTGCAAAAGCATGAGAGACGAGGTACGACAACAGCGGCGCCGTTCCTGGCCAGCCATCCTTTGACACGGTCACCTTCACAGATGAGGACGGTGGCTCTTCAAGGCAGCCTCTGTGATTCGCAGTGTGTTGGAGGATCCTGCAGGCAACTTCGCCTCAGGAACCGTAAGGCCAGGCTTGCATTGTGCGGCCTGCGTTGTGCCTTACCAGGGTGTACCGCACACACATGAAGGTGGACACTGGCCGCAAACGCGGACCTTGGCCACATCACCCACTATGCTGTGTACCTTGCTGAGGACCAGGCTCAAAATCGAATGATCATGTTATTCGGCAGCCCCTGCAGCTTGTGTTAGTATCGCAAGTGAGTGATTGATTGTTGCTTGAGTGACCAGTTGGATAGGCAGGCAGACGTGCGGGTGGGTGGCTGGGTGGGCAAGGGAGCAAGGAAGTAGGGAAGTGAGGGCTGGCGGTCCAATGGTGGACTAAGACATGCTGCAGACTGGGACTTGCAAACCTTCGGGGGTTGGGTGCCGAAAAAAGCTGTCTTTTCTTGAATTCTTGTTTAAACTCAGGTGCTAGTGGCGTCTAAGCTGTGATCTCGACCCGAGGGGGCACACAGCATTGCTCCCTTTTCGTGGAGGCCACAGGCTAGGGGCGCAGTGCGTTTGTGGCCCTGGGAGGCCGGCCTGAACAAGATAGCTTTCGGCGACCCGGTCACATGGGACGTGACGGAAGTGGTGGTTGGCACAGGTGTACTGGGGTCCGCAGCTCCTCTGATGGCTCCTGAGAGCTCTGGTTGACAGGCATCGAGCTGAGCAGCAGGTACCATGTTGGAAGCTTACAGCAAGGGTCGCTCCGAACCTGCGCAGTCTGCGATGATGGAGACTCAGGTGGTAATCTATGCTGTCAACACGTATGGAGAGTCTCTCCAACCTGGTGGGAAGCCGTGTCCAGCTTGAGATCTTGGCAGTCGTACTGCGCCTGTCAGGCAACATTGCATCTTCAGGCGGAACATCAATCATCTTCGGAGATCTGGGCCAATCAACCACCACCACGGCATGGGCCTGAAAGCTGCAACGGCAGCGAGGTGTTTGACCTTCGCTGACCGAGGTCTCAACCACAGCGACAACAGCCACAAGTTCTACGATCCATGCAAGCAAGTGTATGAAATCCTCTTGTCGTCTTTGAAGAGCCAAGCGGCATTTTAGCAGGTAGTCTTGCGAAACATGTCAGGACGACTGGTGTCACAGAGACCTCTGTTACAACTTCCTCATTGACCTCAACCAGCACCTCATTGACTTTGACGACGTCCTCCATCACATCCATCACGGTCAGTACAACAACATCAACCACAAGATCCTCGACCACAAGCCGAACTTTTTCAACGACGACATCGGTCACCACGCTGACCAGCTCAACCTCCAGCTCCACAGCCACCACAGTCACAGTCACTACATCGACGGCTACCTCCACCAGCAAAACTGAGACCATCAGCACGACCATGACATCCTCAAGCACTTCCTCCACGCAATCTTCCACGAGCACAACCTCCCATACCGCAACTTCGACGACATCGGTTTCCGTCACCTCCAGCACGCTCGGTCGCAAAGAGCTTTAGCCTCTCTTTACATGGCAAGACTTGCAGATGGCTTCTCAGCTTCACAGCTGCGCAGGTACCAGCACCACCGTTCCGCTGAGCGTCCAAATCTTGGATGCTGCGCAGGCGGTACTGCCAAGCTGGCGCTCAACCCGCTAGAAGTGCATAGAATCCAAGGCTTTTGATTTTTTCTGCAGGCTGCAGCAGAGCAAGCAGCCAGCGAGGGAAAGTCGCCGGCAGAGCAAGCTGCCTTGGCTGGAGAAGCTGCTCGGGCTCCTCGGTTTGCAAGGGAGTGTTTGGGACAACGGCAACAGCAAAGTGGCCGCAAGCTGAGGCAGCCGCTGCCGACCTAAACCTCCCCATCCCGGAGCAGGCGGCACCCTTTGTTGGCGCTCCTTGCGTGTCTTTAGAGTTCGACCTTTGCGCTGGGAGGCCGCCATGGCTGGACTGGGTGCCTCTGCAGCGGCGAGAAGTGCCGGGACGAATGCCACTGCGGAAGCAGATGCGGCTGGTCGCGCAGCTGGTGGGGTCGGAGCTTTCTACAACTTGACGCTTCAGGAGCGCAGCGACGTTCATGCGCAGCGCAGAGTCCTGCAGATCATTTGCCATGGCTTCTGGCTTCTTTGTCTTTGCAGGATCAAGCAGGATTTGCAGGAAAAGCTGCCGGGGTGGCTGCTGCAAGCACGGCAGCCGAAGCTGGGGCGACGGCCAGCGAACAGGCCTTCCATCGAACGCTTCTTGGTTTTTGCCTGCAAGATCTAAGGCACGACGGGTGTCTGTAAAACATGTGTAGGCGACAGCTGCTGGCGCGGCTGCCGCCGATGCTGTCCAGACATTTTCCGGGACTGCTTTTTTGTGCCTTGCTGTGTTCGATGTCAGCCCACATTGTTTCCTGTCTTGCAGGAGCGCAGAAGAGCAGGCTTTGGCTGCCGGCGCCGCCGCTGCTGCCGCCATCGCCGCAGCGGGAGGTTCGCTGGCGGAACAGCGGCCAGCTCAGCCAGCTCTGCCAGCTCCTCCTTTCACATCCACTCTCGCATCTGCTTTGCAGCGGACATGAGGATTGCAGCAGCCGCTGCAGCCGTCGCAGCGTCAGGAGAGCGGAACATAGATGAACATAGAACAGCTTCCCGCACCCTCGTCGCTGGGTTTCGATCGTGCGAAAGCGCCAGGAGCTGCCAATGGATTGACGTTGGAGCAGATCGCAGCCCTGGCCAGCACTGCAGGCTCGTGCAGAGAGGACGCTAATTAAAAAATCAGGGTGGGACTTGACGGATTGGTCGCGCCGTTCCTGATCGTTCGAGGCAGTACATTGTCGGCAGCTGCCGGAGAGACAGCAGAGCAACAGGCAGCTGCTGCAGCGGCAACTCGGCAGCGTTCACAGTCGAAGCATCAAGCGCTCTCCGTGTCTGTACCTGAGGCAGCAGTCTCTGCAGCCGCCCTGGCATCAAATGCAACACAAGCGGCCGGGTGCCAATTCTTCCTGCCAACATCGATTGCAACTTTTTCTTGCAATGGCTGACCGCTCTACTGTAGGTCGCTGACGATCTGGCAGCTACGACGCTGGGCAGCCTGCTGGGTGCACTGTCGCCGGCATCCAACCAGACCAACGCAGCCAACCAGACGTCCGTGCAGCAGGTGCGTGTTATCACGTTTCAGCATTATCCGAAGACCTCATGGAGCGAGACCAGTATACCCCAGTCCAGAAAGAAATCCTGAGGCCACGTGCGAATGTTAGGGTGTGGACCCGGGACGAATCGGCCTACATCGTGACAAAAGCAGCGTTGTGGTCTTGGGCTGCCGGACTCAGGAACGGATCCCTTCCAAGAACACGCAGACCAACAGGTCTTTCAGATATTGGCCTGTTTCCTCCAAGACAGTGACGTTACAACATCCGGCTTGGACTCTAGGTTCCCCGTTGCACACTCACCGCTTGATACTACCGGACGCCCGCAAACCGTCTCAATGTACATCGTCAGGCCGCAGCAGCTGGTGCAGCAGCGGCACGTATCGCTGCAGAAGCAAACATGACAACGGAGCAGCAGATTGCAGCTGCAACCGTGGCAGCCTTGACTTCGGGCCAGGGCGCCCTGAGTCAAGATGCTTGGCGCATACACGACGTTTTCGGCATTTGCAGAGTCGGTGAAGCTGCTATACGTCCTTGGAAAGCCTTGGGGCAAAGCCTTGGCTGAGCCCTCAACGAGTGTTTGCAGACCCCAATCCTGAAAACAGACGGCCTCTTGAATCTCGGATAGGTGGTAGTTAGCAAAGCTGGAACTGGAACCTTGCAAATGCTTGATCGCCTGCGTCTGGACTTGTAAGGAAGAGCTACACCAAGCAGCTGCAAGTGCTGCCGGTGCGGCGGCTGCAGCCGCCGCCTCCTCGATTTTGCTTCGCAGTCCGTGTAGGTTGCTTCCAGTCGCGGTCGGACCAACACCGGCGGAAGCAAAACGACTAACTGCGCAATCTAATAAGTTGAAGTTGCAACAATTCTGTAGTGATGCTGTGGAGCACCTTTGCCCCTGCACTAGTTGGGTAATCGTCAGCAGCCAACTCAACCCCACACCCTCAAATGCTACTGTTACTCGTGACAGTACTGCGCACAAACCCTGCACATTTTGCTTCTCTTGCCGCCTGAACAACTGTAGATTGCTCTCCTGGTTCACAGCCAATCTGTCCATGTCCCCAGGGTCCTATTTGAGTGCCATTGCTACATCAACCCAAAGGTTTCTCTTACCATCATCATGGTCATTGATAGTAAGTGCACGAGAAAGAGATTCTCGCCATGAGTATGACTCTTGGTATTGTTGTTGACAGCTATCATTATTCTCATCCGCATCATGCTAGTGGTCTGGTAGCGCTAGCCATCACTATTTGTCTTCTTGCCAAGCACACATATGTCTGTTGACATGCATGTTTGTGTAAGTCAACATGTCGGTGTATGTTTATATGTATATGTAATGTATGTATATAATATTTATATGTGGATTAATACACATACATATGTAGATTCTTTATTAGGTAAGTAAGTACTTACAAATATAAGTAGACGGATAAGATCTACATAATTGTAAGTCCACAAGTACACATATATAGGTGCACATATAAGCGGAAATATATATATATATATATACATAAATAAATATATGTATACATATAATATATACATACATACGCACACCCTAATTTCTATACACACAAACATACATTTACACATCCATGCTTGTATGAGATTTACCTATCTATCTAATCTATCTGCCTATTTATCTATCTATCTATCCATCCATCCATCCATATATCGATATATCTATCGATCGATCTATCTATCTGATTCCGAGCTTTGATTGGGTTTGTTTGCTAGGCTCGCAACGGAACCGCTCCCGCACCCGCAGCCGCGGACGCTCGAGCGGTTCCTTCCGGTACCGCAGGTTTTGGACTTTGCTCTGTGTCCGCATCCGGTGCCCGCGTCTGTGCACTCTTGTACAGAGCGGCGCGCCGACCGGACGCGGACCTTTTCCGGCACTGAGCTTCTTCTTCTGCAGGGTACCGGACCTGTGACTAGTGAACATCCATGTATCTATCTTTCTATCCATCTATCTATCCATCTATCTATCTATCCATCCGTCTATCTATATACACATACGCATAGACGTACACATACACATACACATACATATGCATATACATACATATATATATATATACACATACACATATATATATACACATAAAGGCATATATATATATATACATATGTACAGACACATGTACATATATATATATATACACATACACATGCATGTAGGTGTGAATCTGCTTGCCTAGAGAGAGGTGTGTCTGTGTGTGATTGTATTCATGTATGTATGCTTGCATGCTATGTATGTATGTGTGTATGCATGTATGTATGCATGCATGCAGGAGGAACAGACATGGCCTCACACGAATCTGGATTGACCTGGAGCGGTTGGCGGCTTTTGACACCAAGCTACCCAGCGGCAGATTGGCCGATGTGGTGGAGTCTATTCAAGAATGAGCGGCCAAGTTCAAAGGCATTGTGAGGCGCATGCGTCGAAATGAGCACGAAAAACGTTCCCATGAACAAGCTGTCATGGCTGGTTTATGGGGACTACAAGCAAGCATGCCAAAGCCTGCCAAAAGCTTCTGCTTCGATGATGACGTGGAGCTGCCCGGCAGTGTCGTAAAGCAGAAGCCGATAGACCTTGAGTGTGCACATGTTCAAGGTTCATGGAAGACGGCCGATGTACCGGAGCTATATGTGGGGGACTGTGCAACGCATGCGGTGTCCAGTAGTGGACGACCCCAAGACTGCGACACGTTTGCAGGATTCCCGAACATGCATCAATGTCTTGGAGAGACATAAGATGATGGCCGAGGCAATTTTGCCTGGAAAAGGCAGCTAGGAAATTCGAAACAGATATGTTGAGGAGTACAACCTGGCACCGGCCAAACCGGTGCAGGATGGATGGAGGAGGCAGATGAGGTCGTCCGGCCGGTCCGATGGACTGTGTGATCGGTCAGTCTGCAGCAACGAGGAGGCAATACGGGAGCACATCTTGCAGACCTTCCAGAAGCTCCCGCACTACTATGATGAGGAAGTCTAAATTGTCCGGTATACGGGCAAGGAGATTGAGGACCTGTACAAAGACGTCCCCACGGAGCAGTGGACGACGGAGACCTACTTGACCTTGCGAGTGGTCTTTAGTTCAGCAAGAGAGTGGCTTCGGCCGCTTGAGCAGGCGAGCGAACTGACGGCAGGCGCCGACATGCCCGGGTCTTGACATTGAGTGGGCGAACATCGTCAACTCACTTTGTGGAGCTTCTGCCGCGCTGCTAGACCCCTGTACGTTCATCCCGGAAAGCCCCAGAGAGCTGTGGCAACCAATCCTGAAAGGACAAGTTGCAGAGATCGCAGCACCCACAAGATTCTGGGACGGGCCTTTCGCCAACCTTTTTATGGGTTTGAAAGCAGTAGTGCAACCTAAAGTGCTGCGCACACCGCGGAACGCTTCGAAATGAACATGTATGTATGTATGTATGTATGTATGTCTGTCTGTATGTATGTATGTATGTATGTATGTATGTATGTCTGTATGTCTGTATGTATTCATGCTTCGCATGTTTGTATGTATCCGTTTACACGTATGGGTTTTTGTAACGGTGTGTGTGCGTGTGCGTGTGCTTTATGGGGCTCCAGGATCCGTCTGTGTTGAAGAAATCCGGCTGACCGGGCCCAGGCTGCAGCGAGCGGCGGTCTAGATGCATTGCAGCAGGCCGGGACCCCTCCTCTCCGGTACCGTTCCTCCGCTGTCACAGAGTGCACAAGCTCGACCCAGACGACCAGATCCAGAAGCAAGCGTCGAAGTGTTGTCTTGCGGCTTGAGGCAAGCGCAGCCGGTGCGACCGCGGCTGCCACGGCTGCCAGTCTTGGCATGACCACAGAACAGCAGGTTGCAGCAGCCGCACAAGCGGCCATTGCAGCTGGGCAGGGCGTTCTGAGTCAGGACCCTCGGCAGCGGTCCAACATTACTACAGACAGACCCGTTTCATCCATCTGGCATGAGTGTGACCTACTAAGGCGGAATTGCAGCAGGCTGCGGCAAGTGCTGCTGGTGCAGCAGCAGCGGCGGCTGCAGCCGCGTCTGGTGCGACACTTCAGGAGCAGGCATCTAGCAGAGCACCTTATCTGTCATCTTGCCGTGGTGCGAATGGCTTCTGCAGGCAGCTGCCGCTGGTGCTGCTGCTGCCCAAGCTATCAGCGAGTTCTTCAGCGGGACGGTTTTGTGCTTGCTTGATGGGCATGCTAGAGGTGAGAAAGTGTCCCACGTTGCAGGACCCCAGAGGAACAGGCCCTTGCAGCCGGGGCTGCTGCCGCCGCAGCCATCGCTGCCGCAGGAGGTTCGCTGGCGGAACAGTCGCCGGCTCAGCCAGCCAGCAGAATCAACCAGAATCCACGTGTGTGAACGTGGTGTCTTGAGCTACTTCCCACCCGGTCCGGTGGTTTGGCGGATCCCTCGCAGTGGATCTGAGGATACAGGCAGCTGCACAGGCCGTTGCAGCCGCAGGACCAACTATACACAGCAAGAGATCGGTACCTGCAGCTGACTTGATTGCCAGGAGCTGCACGCGGGTTGACGCTGGACCAGATCACGGCGCTGGCAAGCACCGCAGGCTGGTCGAGGGAGGGCACCAATGTAAACTTCCGGGTGAGGTCTTGGTGAGACCTTGATGATGGATTGGTTGCACCGTGCCTGAGCGTTCGGCGTTCGAGGCAGTACTTTGTCCGCAGCTGCTGGAGAGACAGGGCAGCAACAAGCCGCTGCTGCAGCCGCCACTCGACAGCATTAAAAGTCGAAGCATCAAGTGACACTCGTTCCCGCGCCTGAGGCAGCAGTGTCTGCTGCAGCGCTGGCATCAAACGCCACCCAAGAGGCCAGGGTGCTGTTTGGCTGCCAGCTTTCAGCTGCTCTTCCTCGTGTCAGGTCGCAGATGATATGGAAGCAACGACGCTGGGCAGCCTGCTGGGTGCATTAGCTCCGGCATCGAACCAGACCAATGCAGCCAACCAGACATCTTTGGAGCAGGCGCGGGTGGTTCCTGTTTTGGCGGTCGCCCGGACAAATCGTGCATTCCTCTTGTTCCCCGCGGATCTGGTTGTGAACTCTCCTCTGTCGTTCCCGTGCGCTTAGCCTCAGTTCAACTTCGCGAATCCTCTCTGAAGTCTTATCATCTCGTAGCTGCCGTAGCGCTGGACGACGGCGACGGCCTGCCGAGGCTTGACGACGGGTGTCTTCAGACTTTTTCCTTATGCCATGCTGGTGTTAGCGGCTACGATTGTGATGGTTGCGGCTGCTGGAGAGGGGACACCTCCGGAAAGCGCAGACAGATTCAAGACAGTGGCCGAAGGAGTGGGACATGTAATCTTCATGCAATCCGGTGAAAGCAACAGATGAATCTGTCTCGTTCCTCGGCCCAGCATCACCGGCTGGACGTTCCAAAAAAGGGCCGGTTGGCCTGACCTCTTGCTTTGGCAAGGAGCTGCCGCGAACAAATTCGTAATGTGAAGGGTCTCTATCGGTTGGCTCGAGCTGGGACCGGGATCGTTCAGTGCTCTGTGCGAGACGACGAGCTGCGGTTCGAGTCCTGTTGACAGAGCGGACCTTCCTGAGAGCGACTCGCGATCAAGAGTGCAGGTGAATGGCTAGAGACATCTGGAGACCGTATGACAGACCGACGTCGACCACCATTGTCTAACTATGTCCGCCCCGCGACACCCATCATTGCCGGAGCTTGCTTTTCTTACTGTTCAGTTCTTGATCCGGCTGCTGAGAGGCAATCGCGACCGGATCGAGCACAGCTGAGACCGCTGCCAGCCTCGGCATGACCGCGGACCAGCAGGTCACAGCAGCTGCACAGGCGACGATCACGGCCGGCCAAGCGGTTTTGGATCAAGCATCTTGACGGCAGCAACTGCCAAATGGTTACGGAGGGAATGTGGACCACTTGAGACTGAGGCCGGGATTCAATTGGCAGCTGCGCGAGCTGCTGGTGCAGCAGCAGCGTCGGCTGCAGCTGCTGCTGGTGCAACAATTGAGGAGCAGGCAGGCAGCAGAACGCGTTGTCCTGAATGTGATTGCGCGAATTTCTTCTGCAGGCAGCTGCTGCTGGTGCTGCTGCCGCCGGAACTGTCGGCGAGATCTTCAACGGGACAGTGTGTATAGTTGAGAGGCACGTTCTTGCATAGGCAAGAAGATGTCCAATCTAACAGGACCGCAGAGGAGCAGGCCTTGGCAATGGGTGCTGCTGCCGGCGCCGCTGTGGCCGCAGCAGGAGGTTCGCTGGCGGAACAGTCGCCGGCTCAGCCAGCCAGCAGAGCCAGCAGAATCCACGTGAACATGGAGTGGATCTGAGGATACAGGCAGCTGCACAGGCTGTTGCAGCCGCAGGACCGAGCAGACCGAGCATGCACAGCAAGAGATCGGTACCTGCAGCTGACTTGATTGCCAGGAGCTGCAAGCGGGTTGACGCTGGACCAGGTCGTGGCGCTGGCAAGCACTGCAGGCCGGTCGCCCGTTTGTGGAGCCTAGCTCGGCTTGACTGATCCGGTACGAGGCAGTACTTTAGCAGAAGCTGCCGGGCAGACGCCGGAGCAGCAAGCAGCGGCTGCAGCGGCAACTCGGCAGCGTTCGAAGACGAAGCGGCAAAAATATGCAAAGAATATGACGTCTTGTCGTGTGCTGAGGCAGCAGTTTCCGCTGCCGCCCTGGCATTCGGCACAACCCAGCAGGCCAGTATTTTGCTGCAGCATGTTTTTTGACTCCCGCAGTCGAGATTGCTTGCGGCTTGCTTCGTGAGGCAGCGGATGATTTAGCGGCCAGGACGCTGGGAAACCTGTTGGGAGCGCTGTCGCCAGCATCCAACCAGACCAATGCTACCAACCAAACAGCTGCGGAGCAGGCACGTGGATGTGGCACATGTGGGGTGATCTTATTCATGAACACATGCTAGCCAGCTTGCTCTTCTAAGCTTTCGCCGTTGCTTAAGTGTCTGTAAAGGCCAAGGCATCAGTCCTCACTGTCATTGCTTTTGTCAGAAGTCTGACTCAGATTCTCCTGCAACCTCATGCAGACTCAGTCCGGTGAGATCATATCTCTGATCTGGAAGTCAACAACCTCATCATGTGCCCTAGTTCGCTGCCCCCATGCGGAAGTCAAAGAGCTGAGAACTCTCAAGGCTCAAGCTCAAGTCGACCCACAGTCCCTGCGGCCTGCGCGGTGAGGCAATCGCAACCGGCGCGAGGGCAGCGGCTGCGGCTGCCAGCCTCGGTATGACCTCAGAGCAGCAGGTCACAGCAGCCATACAGGCGGTGATTACATCCGGCCAGGACGTTTTGAGCCAGGCTACTTCGACTGCAAGTGTGCATGAAGCCAATCTCTGGAGAACTTGCCATTCCATTCCTGCCTTCAGACTGAGGCGGAATTGCAGCAGGCTGCGGCAAGTGCTGCTGGTGCAGCAGCAGCGGCGGCTGCAGCCGCGTCTGGTGCGACACTTCAGGAGCAGGCATCTAGCAGAGCACCTTATCTGTCATCTTGCCGTGGTGCGAATGGCTTCTGCAGGCAGCTGCCGCTGGTGCTGCTGCTGCCCAAGCTATCAGCGAGTTCTTCAGCGGGACGGTTTTATGCCTGCTTGATGGGCATGCTAGAGGTGAGAAAGTGTCCCACGTTGCAGGACCCCAGAGGAACAGGCCCTTGCAGCCGGGGCTGCAGCCGCCGCAGCCATCGCTGCCGCAGGAGGTTCGCTGGCGGAACAGTCGCCGGCTCAGCCAGCCAGCAGAATCAGCAGAATCCACGTGTGTGAACATGGTGTCTTGAGCTACTTCCCACCCCGTGGTTTGGCGGATCCCTCGCAGTGGATCTGAGGATACGGGCAGCTGCACAGGCTGTCGCAGCCGCAGGACCGCATGCACAGCAAGAGATCGGTACCTGCAGCTGACTTGATTGCCAGGAGCTGCAAGCGGGTTGACGCTGGACCAGATCGTGGCGCTGGCAAGCACTGCAGGCCGGTCGCCTGTTTGTGGAGCCTAGCTCGGCTTGACTGATCCGGTACGAGGCAGTACTTTATCAGAAGCTGCCGGGCAGACAGCGCAGCAGCAAGCAGCGGCTGCAGCGGCAACTCGGCAGCGTTCGAAGACGAAGCGGCAAAGAATATATGCAAAGAATATGACGTCTTGTCGTGTGCTGAGGCAGCAGTTTCCGCTGCCGCCCTGGCATCCGGTGCAACCCAGCAGGCTAGTGTAGGTGCTGTTTGCATCGTCTTTCACGAGTCGAGTGTCACTTGCGACTTGCCTGCGAGGTAGCGGATGATTTGGGAGCCAGGACGCTGGGAAGCCTTCTGGGAGTTCTGTTGCCTTCGTCCAACGAGACGAATGCAGACGGCCAGACAGGCGTGCAGCAGGCATTGGGCTTGTGTTTCAAGGACATGATATAACAAACCATAGAGACTCCAATCTGCGACGCGGAACCGCAAGTGCCAACTACCAGTTACTACTGCAAGACCCGGCTAGAGGGATTTTTGACTGTTGAGTGAATCGCACCTTTGCTGCACATCCATGCTGAGTGTCCTCCAAAATGTCATCAGGCCGAAGCAGCAGGTGCGGCGGCGGCGAGTCTGGCTGCAGAAACAGGTATGACAACGCAGCAGCAAATCACAGCCGCAGCTGTGGCAGCCTTGACTTCGGGCCAAATCCCCCCTCTCGTTGTGGAAGCTTGGTTCATGCAAGTGCAAAGTTTGGCTTTGCGGGTGTCCTGTGCAAGCATCACTTCCTCTGGTCATTTCATACTGCACGGACGCACGAGGACGACCTGCAGGACGCGGTTTCGAGTGCTGCTGGTGCAGCGGCTGCGGCTGTCAGAGCCCTCGGAACCACTCACAGCATCCGACGGCTGTTCTGGTTGGCTTGCCAGGCCGCAGCAGCTGCGGGACAGGACGTTTTCCAGCAGGTGGAACATGTAGCAACGGCAATGACGTCGCACATGCACAGATATTTCTGAAGTGCTTCGTTAAGCAGGCAGCGGCTGCTGGCGCTGCTGCAGCTGGTGCCATCACCCAGTACTTCGGCGGGACCGCGCGATCTGCACGAACCCTTGCGATCTTTGCAACTTACGAATGAAGCTTGCAGGACCCAAGAGGAGCAAGCACTGGCAGCTGCGATGGCTGCTGCAGAAGTCGTGGCTGCTAATGGAGGCAGTGTGGAAGACCAGTCACTGGCTCAGAGCATTGAGATCGCATTACATTACACCCCATGCGCTCGCGTGAAACCGTGCACGCGGGGACGGGCATCATGCGCATCAATGGGATCTGCGTGGGATATGGAGGGTGTAGCTTTCATGGCCGCCGCCTAGCCCTAGGCCTAGGCCTAGGCCAGGGGGAGGGGCAGAATCATGAGCATTATCGGGTCTCACGGTTTCGCTTCCGAGGCCTTAGCCCGAGGCCTTTGCAAGGTGAATCTCAGGGGAGTAGCATGACTGGGCCCGCCGAAGCGGCGAAGCTTTTCGGGTTGGTGGGGTTGGGTGGGGTTGTTTGGCGGAGGAGGGGAGGCAAGGGAGAGGCTGTAGCGGGCTGCGGATTCGAGAAAAAGAGTTCTTCCTCAGGATCCAAGCAGCGGCGGCTGCTGTTGCTGCGCAAGGAATCCTCCTTTGACACGTAAAGCTCGCAGTTGCATTTTCGTGCTATCAGGAGCCTCGGATAGCCTCACACTGGACGAGATCGCATCCCTTCTCGGTCAAACAAGCCCGGCTCTCGACAACTTGTTGCCTTGCACAGGTTCTGATTTGGGAAGTGCTCCGAGGAGAAAGCTTCTGAACCACTGCATACCGAAGACTCTCCAATCAGCTTAGATGAACGAGAGCCACGCGCACTTCCGTACCCCCGAAACCCGCAACTATGCATGTATCACTCTCGGACGAGATGAAGCCAGGCGCTTTCCATCCTCCCATGTCCGTCGAACCGAGCGATGCGGAACCTGGTGACGATACTGGCACACCCATGCGGAATTTCAATGCAAGAGTAAGAGTGGGCAAAGCGGCGAGATAGTGCGTACTGGTACAGTTCACATCCTTGAAAGTCGAGCGCAGGCCCGTCTATGTAAACGTATGCGGGAAGGAAAGCCTGAGTGTACCACAGCAGCAAAGCCCCCTTGGGACAGATCTGGAAGCGAATCCGAACACCAAACAATCCCCCAAGTGCAGTCTGGACTAGACCTGTGCTCGCAACCTCTCGCAGATCTTCCTCGACTCTCAGCAGAAAGTACTGACCTAATGGGTGCAGGTGGGGCATCGATTCCGAAAAAGATACGATATCCCTCGCTGATTCTGGGAGGTGTGATGTGGGGCTTAATCGCGACGGCCGTGGGCGGCATTGCGGTGATTCTTGCAGCGCGAGTCTTGGAACGATGCCTCGGAAGACCTGTCGCTCGTGTGAGTCACTTCCATCTCAGGTCGTCAGTGTTGGCAAGATGCAGAAGACGAGGCTGAAGCAGGCACAAGCCTTGCGTCAGGCCCCGGCACGGCAAACGGAGACGGTAAGAGGTCATACCAGCATGTTGGTGTCAATAGCCTTGATACTTGAGATGCTGTGACAGTGATAAGTTGAAACCAAAAGCAAGCTTGGAGCTTGGAGGCCACTGAAGAGGCCAAGATAGCCGAGCGGATGCAAGACAACTTTGATGCAACACGTGCAAAGATCTGCGTGATGCTGTCCGGCGCCGAGTGATCTTCTGAGCTGAGAGCTCTGCAACAGGGCCTTCAATTCAAAGAGAAGAACGCGTCGTCCAAGCAAATCCAAAATAAACTCCTGTCCTAACGCCATCCCTTATACTGTGATGCATGCACGGCATGCACGGCATGCAGTTAACCCACGCATCGTCCTTTCGTGCGCCGAGGCCCAAGCTCGAGCCCGGCCAGGGAGTTGGACCCCCGGTCCCATCGCGCTTCCAATCCGTAGTCGAGGCGGGGCGGCGCAGAGCGGGGGCGGGCGGACGGCGCCTGCGCGGCGCCGGCACTTTCTCGCGTCTTTTCCTTTTATTCGTTTGCCAGGGCAAGAAGGATTTCAACTTCGCCGACGACGTCCTACCTGGTGAGCGGGAAGCACCACAAGATGCTTTCCGCGGAAGTCATTGGGGAGAGGCACTTCGGAAGATGCGGAATGGATCTCCAGCCTCAAGTCCATGACTTGTCAGGATACCTTTTCCTTGGAGCTCGGAAATGAGGCAGCACAAGCTCATAGCTTTGTGTGTTCGATCCAGTAAAAGCCTCTGCAGGTGTTTTCGGGAAACCGCCCAATCCTTGGTGTGTCGGTCATCTGACCGAGTGCAGACTCGGCTCGCTTGCAGACTCGGCTCTGGGACCAAGGGAACTCGACCTCGTCCGTCAGCAGGAGCAGCCACGTGTCACGCCAAGAGAGACTGTGACCGACTTGACACCCTGAAGGCTCCCAGCGTCTCCTCCTGCAACAGCATCGGCGATCCAGAACGACTTCTGGACGGCACCAGAGGCCGGAATGGTTTGGGCTGGATCCCTGCCGCCCAGTCATGCGTGGACAGCGTGACAGGTGGGGGACGACGAGCTTCCGACCATCAAGCCAGGAACTCATTGAAGCAGCCACGACCTGTCCACTGCCATCCGCCAGAAATCATCTTTAGAGACCACCACAGGCCGAGTGCGCCGCGGCTTCAAGGCCACGTTCATGTCCTTCCATGCCCTTCCAAAGAAGCGGCCGCTGACTCACAGGTGGGCCAAGCAAACTACAAGGTGACGACGAAAGGCCAGGGGCTCCTGGCCTTTAGCGCTCTAAAAGCCGACGACCTGATTTCCTAGAAACCTTCCGAGGTTTTCGGTTGGCAAAGTTCAACCGCCATTTTCTCCGACCAGCGACGGCCTTGTGAGCCCAAGCGGCCGACGATCTGCGAAAACCCTCTGATGCAGACACCCGGCCTTTCTCTGCAGTGCCGATGCCTCAGTGGTGACTCGTCAACTTTCAAAAGCATGTGATTCCCTTCCCAAGGAGTCGCAGAACACAGGCCCCTGTCTGAGGACGAGGAGGTGTGACGAAAAGCATGGCTCTTGTTACAAGAGCTCCTGCATGCAGTGTCGTCCAAACGGAAAAGCCAAGAGGTCGTCAAAGAGAGGCCTAGGAAAAAAGATTCGGTGCCCGTGCAGTGTCTGTTCCGTTTCACTGGCTCCAGTGGCTCGGAGTCTTGCGACGCATTGCGACGCCGCAATATTTTCGGCTCATCGCTTGCTTGGGGCTGGCTTGCGCAAGCAAGTTGTCGGCATCCCAGTCGCCTTCCGGCGCCTTGGACATGCTGTCAGTGGTCTGTTGCAGAGGTCAGCCGTGAAAACCATGGCACGGCTGGGCCTTCTCGGGGCCATCCTCCTCGTCTCACCTTTACGATCACCAGGTCAAGGTTTTGGGGCCATAGAGAGTGCTTATGGCTGTGAGTCTCGCGTGCAGGTTTTGCCAGCAATTCTTCGGCTTGCTCGCTGCCCGATGGCTGTGTTGCTGGCTTTTCAGAGAATGAAGAAGAGAATATCCAGGTCAAACTGCTTCAGGTGCCTTCCTCGTTTCCTTGACAAAGGGGGGGGCTGAGGCTGGCTTCCTGTGCAAACATCGCTTCAGGTCAACGTGGAGTTAGGGAGGACAGCGGATGCCCGGGAGCATCCCGGTGGGCGGCGCTCACGTCTGCAGGAAGTCTGCCGTGTTTCAACAAGTGTCTTTTTCCCTTAAGTGGCATTTAAGGCGGTCGCTGGCTGAAAGACTTCGAGAGGGATGGCAACGCAAATTCTTGCCTGTCACCACTTCGATCCTCTTGCCACATGGTTTCGCGTTCGTGATTGCGCAGTTCCTGATCCGGCGCCACCGAAACAAGAAGGCCGAGTGCTTTACGGACCCACAGGAGGATGCTCCCAGGAGTCTGCCCTACATCGCTGGAAGAGTTGGTCCGATGTGGCTGATCCACGCACTGTCCGTGTTCGTCTATGCAGTGTCGGCGCCAAGCGCTGCCCGCATCTTAATGACAGCGCCCCAAGCATCCTGCGACGATCTTCAATTGCCTCCGTGTTCTCTCTCTCTCTCTCTCTATGTGTGCATAACTTCTGCGTGCTGAGGACTACATGTACCTGAACTCTTTTGCAAAGCACTATGCCGATGGCCATCCTACGGATTGTTCCACAGCGATGGACACGATGCCGTGCAGCCGGGCGGTCGTCGATGTGACGCAAATACAGGTCATTCGAGGTGCGGGAACTGTTCTCTCTTCGAAACCTGAAAGCCCAACATGTGCTTCTTAGGCCCGAAAGTCGCACTCCGACAGGTAGGCCACCTTGAAACAGTCACGTGACAGTTGAAAACCAGGAAGCCTAAGTCTTGAATGAGCTTCCCACGTGTTCTAACAGTTCTAACATGCCTAAGTGTGACATGACGTTGCAGGGTTTGCATTGCCCATTATCCAATTCTTCGCTGGACCTGCGTTGGGAGCCATCAGCGACGCCTTCGGTCGGCGCCCAGGAGTAATTTTGATACGAATTGCATTTGTAATTTCGACCGGGACTGGAGCAGCGGTTGCTTGGTTTGACCTCTCTGTCTGGATTGATTTTTGGATTGGGTTTCTTGGGATGATCCCTTTCCTTCCAGTGCCCCTCGCTTGGTATATCGACCGCATTGACCATACGCCCAGCATTGTCATGGCCACAGCTCTGATCGAAAGCTCCTGCACTCTTGGTTCAATTCTGGGCTCTCTCCTTGGTGGCTTCCTCAGCCTCAAGGTTGCAATGCTAATTGGCTTCTTGGGGAAGCTGGTGTGTTTGCTGCTTGCACTATTCGCCTTACCAGAGTCGCTTCCGGAAGAAAGGCGAATCCGGTTTACCTGGTCCAGTTTGCTTCCCACTGCAGCACTCCGGGTGCTTTTCCAGAGCCCTCTGGTGGAGAAGCTTACAGCGATTGCCGTCATAGATTCATTCCACTACAATGGCTTTTACACCATGATGAACCGCTTTTTTCAGCAGCATCTCGCATTTACTCGGCAAGAGATGTATCTGCAGGCCATGATAGCACAATTCTCAGACATCGTCTGGCTGACCTTGGGCGTGTCTGCGCTTTGGCCTATCCTTGGGCAGGCCGGGTTTGCATGCTTTTGCCTCTCTTCCTCTGTCCGCACGAAGCCCGGGTGGAGCTCGCATCAAGAGTTTGTGATGAGAGAGTAGCTTAATGCCTTGTGCTTCCGATTACATGCATCGGCGCAAAGCCGGTGATAGTTCTCAGCGCTCTGCGCTGCCTCGGCGGGGAAGATCCGGGAGCAGGGCGACAGGCAAGCCTAAACCTGGCGATTTTTTGGACCCCTATGCCCTCAAACGGGCTGGGTTTTAATCAGGCATGTGTGTTTTTTTCCCCTTCGGCCGGCATGTGTGGGTTTTTTTTGTTCCCCTTCGGCCGGTGGAGATGGCACAGAGACCCTGGGGGCGAGGAGGACACCACGGAGGGGAGGAAAGGGTTTTATTCGGCCGCAACATGGGCAAGGACCCCACAACGGACTGGGGGGTGGGGGAAAGGGCCACAACAGATAGCACGGAGACCCTGCAACCGGGGCGAGAAAGACCCCACACAGGGGAGGGAAGGGTGTTATTCAGCCGGGACTTATTCAGCCGGGACATGGCCAAGCACGCACGACAGGGAAGCGGCTGGGCGTGAGTTGTCCAAGGAGTGACTCTGAAGGAGGGAAATGCAATGTGGTGGGAAGCACCACAAGTTGGTCAGGAAACCCCACAACGGATGCAAAAAAGACCGGGGGGCGGGGAAAGAGGACCACAACAGACGGCACGGAGACCTTGCCGCGGGGGCGAGAAAGACCCCCCACAGAACAAAGAAGGGTTTTATTCAGCTGCGACATGCCGAGAAGGCTCAAACCTCCAAGGTTGGTGCCGAGGGACGGGAGGCCTAGGAAAACCCGAAGAGGTGCAAAAGGGACCCCAAGGGGAGAACAAGTAGGAAAAACAACCCTGTATATGGAATGGGTGCAAAAGGGACCCAACAGGTGCAAAAGGGAGCCGAAGAGGTGCAAAGGGGGCCCAGACGGGGAGAGCAAGTAGGAAAGAAAACCCTATGTATGAAACGGGTGCAAAGGGAGCCCGAACAGGGGCATAAGAAACCAAAAGCACCCCTCAAACTCTTCAATGCGAAGCTCCCTGAGAGCTTCGAGGCGTTGAATTGTTGTGGATCATTTTTCCGGTGTTGCTTAAGGATCACATATATGGTGGGGGTTTGTCAGGCGCTTCTGTCGGAATCCCACCTTGAGTCTTGCCACAGAAACTGAAGGTGTGACTGCTAGCCAGGGTGGCGGAGGGGGGAAGGTTTGAAGATTGATTCTGCATCAGGGCTGTTGGGTGGGGGCGAAGCCCACAATGGAGAAAGCCGGATCAGGAGGGAACAAGGGCCCCGACAAAAGTGGGAGAACCTCTGGACGCCCGGGCCGAGCCTTGGACAGGTTGGCATCCTGGTTTCGAGCTCCTCGGCGCAGAGAGCGAAGCAGCTTTTCAAGTCGTATACTTCTGCTTCTGAACGAAGTTTCCGCCGTGCATATTTGATTTCCCAGGTACACTTGCGACGGCCTTGTCGGATGTGCTGTTGATGATGGCGGGGAAGAGCTGGCAGGTGAACCTGAACTGCCTGATCTTGGGAGGTTTGGGGAACATGAACGGCTGCGTCATTGCCGGCATTGCCGGTCGAGCCGCCTCCCAGGAGAAGCAGGCGATGTTCCAGAGTGCGCTGAACCTCGCGATCCAGGTCAGCAGCGCGCTGGGCCCTGCAGCCTTCATGACCGTCTACCAGCTGTGTGACCCCACGGCGCCGGGGGCTCCACAGTGGAGGATGTCCGTCTACGTGCTGTATGGAGTCATGTTTGCCGTTCCGAGCCTGATGCTTTCACTGGCACTTCGCAGATTTATCGAAGAAGAGAAGGACCACGACTCCGGCTTCAGCAGTTGAGCTCGGAGCCAAGACAAAGCGGACCGTGCCTCGAAAAGGGTCGCGCACCACTCTTGTTCACAGGGACTTTTGGAAGTTGAAGGGTCCTGGGCTTTTAGGCATCCCAAGCCTCAAAGTTACAAGAACAGGAACAGAGTGACTACCACTCCGCTTGAAGAGTCCGCCCACGAGGGCTCGGGATGAGGAGGGTTACGAGGATCGTCAACGTAGGTGCCAATTGAGAGTCCAGAGGGTTCGGTACAGAAGAAGCGGTCGCGGGTTCTGCAGTGCTTGAACAAATGTATTGAGGGTCTGGGTGCAGCGCAAGTGTATCTCCTGAGGCCTCCGCAGCCTTCCCCAAGCGCGGTAGTTGTGGGATTCCAGAAGAACGCCCGTCTAGAGAGACCTCAACCCATGTCTTGAACGAATGCCTTCAAGGTTTGTCGGACTGGAGCAGCTAACTCTGCATTGCCTAAGAACACGTCGAGAAGTAGCTGTCCCAGCATGGCAACACAGCTGGTTTCGGTTCGATTCGATTCGGGCTAGGACCCCTGCACCTGTGCTCAGCTGTTACTGCTCCAATAGTGTTCTGAAGAGGAACATGCAACCAACCCAGCAATCAAGGAACCATCATTGCCGACAGGTGGCTCAGTAATCGTGCCAGGAGCCAAGCCAAGGGACACAGCTTGTCCACATACGTCGGAAAGGATCAGAGGTGCCGAGAAGCAAAAAGAGTCTTTCGAGAAGCTTAAGCATCTCCCATAGGCAGCCAGCCGCCGGAGGGTATCCTGCAATGGCGTCCCGTGACATGGGATTCACTGATGCACCGAACCCTTCCATGGAGATCTCGGAGTATGTAGGCAGCGACAGCGAGTCGTCCGATGGCCAGGTGCTGTAAGTCTGCACATAGGAACCCAGATGACTGGCTGACTGACAAGCTGCTTTCAGCTCTGATACACTCCTGTCACTCTTGCCTGCAAGGCTGAGAAATCGCGATGTTGCCCGTCCAAGCAGAAGCTCATCTTCCCTGCGGGTGTGGCCTTGCTGCTGGGTGTCGTGCTGGCGCTGATCGTTTGGCTCAGCACTCGGCAACAAGGCTGGCGGGACGGGGCCCGGGGCTGGTGCACATCAATTCACTCTGCGAAGTGATGCAGGTGGCTCCAAGTGCCGAGGCTTCGAAAAGTGTCCCGAGTATCCGTTGCCTTATGCATTCGGGACCTGGCCCAAAACCTACAACTACACTGGGCGCTTTCCTGATGGCTTTGTCTGGGGTGTGGGTACCGCGTCCTACCAAGTTGAAGGCGCGTACCGAGAAGGGGGCAGGGGTGCCTCGATTTGGGACACTTTCACAGGGGTTGCCACTCTTGATTGGCAGGCTTTGGCTGTTTTTGCTTACGCCTTACACCACTTGGCCGTCACTTCGGCCGAAATTCCCGAACCCTAAGTAGTCTCGCTGCCCTGTCCAGCGCAAAATGCGTAGATTCAGGCCAACACGATTGACATGCCAGGGGGCAACTGCAGCTACTGTTGCAAATCTACACCATGCACGCCCAACGAGTACATGGTAGACAAAGGGGCGACTGGCAACGTTGCCACAAACAGCTACCACATGTTCCGAACAGACATCGCCCTGATGAAGTCGATGGGCTTGAAGCATTACAGGTTTAGCATTGCGTGGCCCCGCATTTTCCCAACGGGCAGCGCCACCGGAGAGCCAAATGCCGAGGGCATCCGCTGGTACAATACCTTCCTTGACGAACTCCTAGCTGCTGAGATCCAGCCATATGTGACTCTATACCACTGGGATCTGCCACAAGCGCTGATGAGCCCGCCAGAACTCAGTGGATGGTGGGCCCGGGACAAGGACGGCAAGCCTGTAGGCCAGATCCTCCAAAACTGGAAGCACTACGTTGACACCTGCTTCCGATCTTTCGGGGACAAGGTAAAAGTCTGGGTGACGTTCAACGAGCCCTGGACCAGTACAAAGCTGGCCAGTGGTAGCGGCAAGGCTCCAAGCATTGTGCCTTTCATGAATGCATCGTTAGATCCATACATAGCCGCGCACAACATGTTGAACGCGCATGCGGCGGCAGTGGAGATCTATCGTGGAAAATACCAGAAGTCGCAAGGGGGAATCATAGGCATCACGAACAACCAAGATTGGAGAGAGCCGAAGACGGACAGCTTGGAAGACATTGCGGCGGCCGAGCGGGCAATTCTTTTCCAGCTGGGCTGGTTTTCGGAGCCCATTTTCGGTGCTTATGGGGATTATCCTCCCGAAATGCGAGCTGTATTTGGAGACGATTTGCCCAAGTTCACCGACGCCGAGAAAAAGCTTCTAAAAGGCAGTGCGGACTTCTTCGGGTTGAATCACTACTCCACTGGTTGGTATTCTGCCACCGAGGAGCCAGGCTGGGACATGACGTACGGTGTGGCAAGCGAGGATGGCTTCATCCGAGCCCAATCTACCTGGCTCTACGGTGCTGGCTGGGGACTGCGCAAGCTGCTAAACTGGGTGAAGAGGCGCTACAACCCTGTCATCTACGTCACGGAGAACGGCTGGTCGATAGGCGCCAGACTGCAGCCTTCCCCCAATCCCGACAGCTAGGCCCACTAGCCCGCTAGGCCTAGGCCTAGGCCCCACAGCACGAACGAGAAGCTCCGATGCCAAAGTAAGCAGGGAAATTGCGAGTGCTCGGTGCGGCTCCAAATCACAGGTGCAAAGACGGCTGAGCAAGCAGCCAACGACACAGACCGGGTGATGTACTACGCGAACTACACCACTGAGGTTCTGTCTGCCATCAGGCAGGACGGTGTAGATGTTCGTGGCTACTTCGCCTGGTCCTTGCTGGACAACTTCGAGTGGGAGATGGGATATCCGATTCGATTTGGCACCGCCTATGTCGACTACAATCCAGGGCTGGATTCTGATGCGCCGCTGCCGAACACACATGTGCCGACTGCAGGCTTCCAGCTCCGTCGCCGGAAGGATTCCAGCTGCTACTTGGAGCAGGTAGGGGACACTTCATGGTTCCATGATGATTCTCGGGAGGACACTTTCGTCGTACCAGTTAGGATTTTTGAAGAGGAAGACGCAGGTGGCACGGAGTGGGTTATTATAGTTCTAGGGGAATGACCTTGCCAGAAGAAACACATACTGCTTTCCGGGCTCAGAACTTGGTGATAGGGGTCTCGAAATTTCTGACAGGGGAACTGGGTCAGGATGGAACAGGGTTGCCCACTTCAGTCGTAGACGGCAAATACGACGGACTCTCAAGGCACTTTGCTGACAAAAATAGGTTTTTTGTTTCCTCTTCATTACATCAAGCACCTGTCCATCTTCACCCAAGCTCGCCTCGTTTATCGACAGAAGCTTTTGCAGGTGTGGCGAGAGAACATGATGATGGCGCCGAACGGCGTGGCATCTTGTGTGCAGCCTGGAATCTTTCAGGGGCGCTACCGTGATGTCACACAGCCCGGCTGCCAGCGGCTTATTGATGTCTACAATCCGCCCACAACTGGATCGATTTCTGGGACTCGACCAGGCAGAGTAGGGAACATCGCAAAGGGGTTGCAGAGTTTTGCAAGGCCAGTTAGCTAGTTCCATCGTACCATCTACGAACACCGGCGAACAAGGTGAACAATCTCGATCCTCGAAGGAAACGCGTCTCAAGCATCAACTTCGAAGTTTTTCGCCAGGTCCTGGCAGGACGTCATGTGACGGAGGCATCACTGACATCACCTATGGCCCAGCCACGGTGACCATAAGCGGCAGCACTGCAACTTGGCCGTCCAAGTCAACGTCAAGTTTTTTTGGCAGCTGACTGGACATGCAACCGCGCGGCTCAGGTTGTTTGCAGAGGCTGCCGGTCCGGATCTTCGCAGGCAGAACAGGGAAGTGCCGGGAGGAGAGCCGCGAGCAATTGCAACAATGCATCAGCTTTTGCCTGCAGGGCTTCTGGTCTGCTGGCAGCCTGGGGATTGAATGGGATGATGGTGCTCTTTGGCAAAAGGCCGGGGGCATGCACTCCTCACAGTAGGCCCAGTAGGCCTCTTTGGGTGCTTCCTGCAGCTGCGGCTCAGGTGATATGAATGGCTGTGGCCGTTCGGGCCGGGCAAGCTGCACGGAATGCGAAACGATGTGGACAACAGATTCCGCAGATACCCCACTCTCAAAAGGATTTGCGTGCCCTGCTTGCATTCCCGCAGTTGCAGCTGCCACATCTCCAGCGGGAGCCGCGTGTCTCCGCACTTGCTCCCATTCCAGCTTGACTTAATTAGTCACGTGCCTCGGAAACCACATCTAGGTCATGCTGCACGAAACTGTGCCCGCCTATCGCGCTGTCCTGTCGATGAGCATCATAGCACGACCTGGTAATACCGGTTCCTTCACCTCACGCCCCGAAAGTAGCACATGCATTCAAAATTCGGTGCATGATGACACCATGTCCATGGCCGAGTGGTCTGCCAGCCCGGCTGTGAAGCAGGCCCTGACCTGGTTCATGTGTGCCGAGACTCCCAACGTACCCAAGAGCTGTGCCAGGCTGCGAGGCTGTGCCTGTGACATTGCCTTGCTTCGCCAGGAACTCTGCCAGCTTCGTGCCGGGCTCACCGACTCGAAGGACGCCCGGATGGCGAGAGATCTGCAATCCATGCACATCGTAGACCCATGATCCCATATCAACAGTGTCTTGGCATGGCTGTCGTGTTCGGTTGCGGCGGCATGCGGCGGCCACTTGTGCTTGGCCTACGTGGTCAGAGGGGCACGTCGTCTGTGGACAGTAGACAGCAGCGTGAATTGAATGTGCATGGTACGGCAGGCGCGGCACCTCGACACAGCTCTGCTTCTGGAGCGGCTGTCAGGCAAGAGCTGCCCTTGCCGTTCCTTGCGGTCTTGAAACCTCTGAGTCTTTGAGGCCAGAATGCTGCGCTGCGCCTGCAGCTCCGAGAGGGCCGAGAGGCTCAGCCGGAGGCCGTACGCCGGGACTCGCGGCATTTGGGGCACCTGCACCAAAGATTTCTTGTGCGAGGCAGGAGCTCAGTCCTCTCTGTGCCTCGGCCTGCACGCACGCCACGTCTTCCTGCGCCTGTAAGAAATGCTCGTGCACATGGCAAGGCGCACGTCCAGGTCTTGTCCAACTTCCAGAGCGGACAAAGAAAACCGCAGTGAACTGCCATCGGCATCGGAGAAGCCGTGCACACCCAAGAGGCCGCGTGAGCCTTTGTGCTGTCTACGTCCAGGGGATCGCCAGGATCCACTAGGGCTTTCGTGCTTCCAAGGCAGGTGCAGATCCCATGCTCGGGAGGCCCGCCGCAAATGACACAACTGCGGCTGTATGATTGTTATGGCACGTGATGCGAGGGCAAGTCGCAGGCGAGCTCGGGCTTTTAAGGCCAGGACAAGAGGGCCCAGTGAGGAAGGGCTTGCTGTAAAGGGGCTCCCGTACACAGGCACCGGGTCTGGCAGCTGGAAAGAGAGCTGGAGGTAGAGAAGCGACGCAGCGCCGACGCCCCAAAAAAGGCAAAAATGGGGTGTGTACGGTCGGACACTCGAACATTGCAAGAGGCAGCGCTTCAGAAGAGAGTGGTCCGCATCCGAGCCACTGTGACGCTGATGCCCTCAACTCAGATCTCTTTGGGGCCTCCTTGCAGGATGGGCAAGAAGCGCAGAAAGCAAGCGAGGCCGGCCGTGGGCTGGCGCTCTGCGAGCACGCCAATTTCCAAATTTCCCAGTTTGTCCAGGCTACAGATGTGGCACAGCTGAGAAGCGAGCTTGCTTCTTTGCGAACATGGTGACAAGCTGAGAGGCTAAAGGCATTCTGAGAGTGCTGACGCGAGAGTCTGAAACACACAAGGGCGAAGCAGGTGCGGCTGGAGCATGCAGCAGAGCAGGTGGGAACAGTCAGCTTACGGCGCCGCCAAATTCCGCTCTTGCCAGGCCACAGCGGTCGCAGAGGCTTCCTCTCACTTCCTTCAGGTGCCTCATTACTGAGTCCTGAATGCCATACATAGCAGCCTTACTGCAAGGCGCGAATGAACGCCGACAAGCACACCGTTGGCTACTCAGGGTGGAGGTGCCTCTTGCCGGCTTGCCTGGGCTTGTTGGTGAAGGCCCATGGGGAGACAGCAGACCAGCTTCGACATGAATTGCGGCGAGAAGTTGAGGTGCCGGGAGGAGACATGCATGATTGCCCTTACATGGTTTACAATGCCTTGCATCCATTCACGTATTTGCAGATGCTGTCACATTTCCATGCAGCTTATCTGGAGTATGATGCAGGTTTAAGTGCCTTCCAGGGTGCCTCAGACTACAACTCAGTAGAGACGTGGCCAACACATACTGTAGAATCTGTAGAACATAGTAGTCATGTGGCACACTCATAGATCTCTTTTGCGAGACTGTTCGAGTTGTTGTCGTGTGCCAAGTTGGTTCGGTGTGGAGCATGCCCAGGCATGTGCACTGAGAATCATGCTCTTTCCTCGCGAAATCCCGAATTAAATGTGTCGTAACCCAGTAGATTGAGTAGAGATTCAGACCTGTTTCAGGCAGCCCGTCTGCTCCACAAGGAGGAAATCCGAGTCGCCACAGCCGAGCCTGCGCCTGAGGGATCCACAGAGAGAAAGAGAAAGAGAGAGGTTTTGGCTCAAATGTCTGCGCTCCCTGGCATCGGGGGAGGCTCGGGGTTGACCTTGAGCTGTTACCCCAAGGGGAGCCTTCGGGCGCTTGAGTCATCAACAGGCCCTTACGCTCAATCCATGCACTCTCCGGAACCTGACTGCGGCTCTCTCCGGAGTGGCCAGCGTGGAGGCAAGGAGCATACCTCGTGAAGGAATTCACCGACCGGGATCTTCCTTCCTTGGCCGGTTGCCCTGCCGAATGGGCACCGGATAACCCTGATGGCACACCAGGGGGGGATACATCTGCCGACTTCGCAGATGTGCTGGGAGTACAAGAACATGTGGCCTGCAGCAGGACGGTTAGAGGGGGAGCCGACAACCAGTGAGCCGCCGGAGGTAGAAAGAAGGGTCTGAAAGAGGGGCGAGCTTAACTCCACCCCAAAAATTTGCAGCACACTAAACTGTGGCGAGTGCGAGGGGGAACTCCTCAAGCCTCTGCGCCCTAGTCTTGACGAGCCGCTGAGCCAAACAACACCTGCCTACGAGGGCCTAAGCCGCCCTACACCCGACAGAAAGAGAGAGAAAATAGAGAGAGCTAGCAGTGCGAGAGCTCAGTCGGTCAATTGTTTCAGTAGCGTGCAGTTGGTGCCGGACCTTGCCTGAGCATGGATGAGCGTTGCGGGAGAGGGTGCCGTCTGCTCTGCTTTCGTTGTCGGGGCTGGATAGCGAGACAGAAAGAGGGAGATTCTACACATATACTAATCTACAATCGCATGTATACATATATACATACGTGCAGACACACTCACAGAAGCATGCAGACACGCAGAATGCTCGCCTGCACGCACACACACGCACGCACGCAGGCATGCAGGCACGCAGGAACGCAGGCATGCATGCGGTGCACACGCACGCGCACATGTGTGTGTCTATACATATATGTGTGTTTTGCGCGTGTGTGTGTGTGTGTGTGTGTATTTTCTGTACATACACACACACACACCCATGCGTACATACACTCATATATATATATATAGATATACATATACACACACGCACATACAAATGCATATGCATACATGTATGCAGAAAAGGAAGCATGGAGGGCGCCAGTTCTAGCACATTCCTAACGAAGAGATTTAGCAATACATTCCGAACGAAAGCAAAAATATGTTATTTACACTTACATACAACAGTTCCTTTAGATAGCAACAAGTGGTGCAAGCTCTCTCCGGCTTCAATTCGAGCTGGCAAACGAAGATCCGGCTCCAAGTGGGCACTTCGCGTCGCGACGAAGCAATAACTCCGCAGTGAAGGAAGGTGTCGGATATCCAGCTGGGCGGAGCACCGCAGGTCACCTGCCCAACAAACAGGGCCCTTGCAGGACTTGCCAATCACCACTTTTGTGGTTTGGGGTCATTTAGTCACTCCTTTTCGGCAAACAGGCAAGTCCTTTCCACAGCCGGGTTTGTCAGCCATCATCGACTGAATTTGCAGGTTATCCGCAAAACATTGCAATGGCTGCTTTACTCGAAAAGTTCGGGCGGCTGAACCGGGTACGATGCAACGGTAATCCTGGTAGCAGATGCCAGCTGTGCTCAAATTCTTAAAAGTGCATGGCATCATGGGGTGATCCCTGATATCCTGAACTGTTGCAAAGAGCTTCGGCTGGCAGAGCTCTGCAAGGTTCCTCTGCTGCCATTTGCGCAAGCAGAAGCAAAAAACACGTGTGGTCATGGTCTTTTACACAAGACACAAGACACAATCACTTTCACTCTCAGTGTCACTCTCACTGTCACTGTCGCTCTCACTCTCAGTGTCACTCTCACTGTCGCTCTCACTGTCAACGTCACTCTCACTCGTTTTGAAACGCACTCACCCTCACCCTCGCCCTCGCCCTCACCCTCGCCCTCACTCTCCCTCCCTCTCTCTCTCTCTCTTCCTTCTCTTTCCGTCTCTCTCTCTCTCTGTCTCCCTCTCTCTCTCTCATATATATATATATATATGTATATATATATATATATGTATGTATATATACATATATATATATATACAAACAGATAGAGAGAGAGAGAGAGAC